TTGGTGCACTACGGTATTTTTTGGGTATTGAGGTTGCTAGATCTAAACAGGGGATTTTTATCTCTCAGAGAAAATATGTTCTAGATCTGTTGGCGAAAACTGGGAAGTTGGGTGTTAAGCCTGCTGATACACCCATTGAACGGAATCACAAGATTAGTGCAGAGGGCGGGGAGCCTCTTGAAGACAAAGTTATGTTGTATTGCTAGCTGAATAGAATCACACTCTGCTTCTTGGAGGAGTAAGAAGCAGAGTGTTGTTTCCCGCTCTAGTGCTGAAGCGGAATACAGGTCAATGGCTAACGGAGTGGCTGAAATCTTATGGCTGAGATCACTACTTGAAGAGTTGGGTATTGACTATGAAAAGCCCTTAATGTTGTATTGTGATAATCAGGCAGCTATTAATATAGCCCAMAACCCARTGCAGCATGACAAAACTAAACATATCGAAGTTGATCGACATTTTGTGCGAGAGAGGGTTACATCACAAGAAGTGTGTCTCCCGTATATCACATCTAATATGCAGCTCGCGGATAACCTCACCAAGGCTGTACCAAGGAAGAAGTTAGAGACAGACCTATCCAAGTTGGGAATGATAAATATCTACTCCCAACTTGAGGGGGAGTGTAGAGAACACTGATGTAGGCCCCACAGCAGTGGTCCCCACTGTGTTTGTAGGACAGCATGTGTAGTTATTTGTTTCAGTTGTTGTTTATTTCAGTTTTTATTTACTTTATTTGTCATGTAAGTACTAAGGGCAGATCTGTCCTTTCCTCTATGTACTAAACATAACCTATAAATACTAAGAGAGTGGCGGCGATGGATGTGTTAGAATTTGTCCCTCCTTTCAAACCCTTGTGTTCTTCTGTTTCTCTTCTCTTCCTTCTCCTTCTTACTTTTCTTCTGCTTTTCTAAACCTAAAATCTATTAGGGTTCAAGACTGATTGCAGTCTTGATTTTCTACTACCTTCTTTAAGTGGTTGTGGTATGATGCTGCACATGAATGTTCCAAAATGTTTTTGGATGGATGTTGTACTTGCGGTTGCGTATATCATTACCTGTATGCCCTC